CTGCAACCCCTCCAACCACCACTGCACTGCTGCAACCCACCCACCACCACCACTGCACTACTAAGACCTCTCCTCTTCACCCAACCACTGCACTGCTACAATCCCCACCACTGCACTAATGCAACCCCCTACCACTGCATTGAACTGTGCTAGTTATTAAATTTAATTCCCATCACCATCATCACCACTTAACTGGTATCATTAATTAGATATCCTTAACATAGTATCATATGACCCGCTTCCTACTTAGGATTCGAACCAACACCAGTAAGAAATACCAGACCTAACAAGCCAACATCTAGTAGCCTCAGCTAATTCGCTTCACACAATTACATCAAAATTGACTATCATAAGTTATTATCTGGGACATCAACATTTCGCCTTTATGTGCAGTTGATATGAGTTGTAGCTAAAAATCTATTCTAATAAGCTCATTAAAAAAGGTAAATAATTTTATAACAAGTTATTTTTATATCGAGATAAATTTTATTGTTTTTTTTTCGGCAGCAAAATAAGACATGTAAGTTTAAATATTAAAATTTAACAATCATACACAGTCATATCAAATCCACATTTAAAATCAATGAGTGTGTAAATGTGTAAAAGTTTAAGTGTGCAAGTGTATAACTGTGTGAATGTGTAAGTGTATAAGTGTGTAAGTGTTTTAGTAAGTGTGTAAATGTGTAAGTATGGTGTGTAAGTGTGTAAAAGTATTAACGTGTATAAGAAAGTAAGTGTGTAAACGTCTAAGTGTATAAATGTGCAATTGTATAAGTGTGTAAATGTGTAAGTGTGTAAGTATTTTAGTTAGTATGTGTGTAAATGTGAATATGTTCTGTAAGTGTGTAAAGGTGTAAATGTGTAAGTGTAAAAATGTATAATAAAATAAGTGTGTAGGTGTGTACGTAAGTGTGTAAGTGTATAAGTGTGTAGGTTTGTGACTGTGTCAATATGTGAGTGTGTGAGTGTGAAAGTATGTAATTTCATGAGTGTGTAAATGTGTAATAGTGTATACGTTTGAGCACGAGTACGAAAAGGGTGAGTGTGTCAGTGTGTACTAGTGTTAATGTAAATGTGTGTAAGTGTGTGTGTCTCAGTATGTTGTATGTAAGTTTGTAGGTGTGAAAGTGTGCAAGTAGGTATTGTGTAAGTAAGTGTGTAATTGAGTAAATTTGTAATGGTGTTAGTTTAAGAGTTTAAGTGCCTTAATGTGTAATTGTTGTTTGTAAGTGTGTAAGTGTGTGAGTGTATGACTCCTCTAAAACGAAATACAACAACGTCTTTTATATTCTAAAACTATTAACTGAGTTATTTCCCTTATCAGCAATGACTATAATCTATATAATTTTCTCTGAAATTAGTATTGCCACTGTAATGATTCAAAGTCATTAAATGGCTTGCATAATTTACTGTGATATCATGCCCATATAAGTAGAAGTGGTTCTAATCAGGGCCAGAGTTGGTGGAGAACCTAACATTTATAATGTATCTTAGAGTTGATACATGGTAACAAATTACCAGTACAATTTATGATTGCCAGATAACAATGATGTTGTGACACTGTAAGAAAGGCTGTAAAACCGTAACTTTACATGCCATGCCTTTGAACCTATGCTAGGCACACATACACATATAAGAACGCAAACAATGAGCACTTTCAGCAATGTTTAATGTTTTAAGAAACATGCTATAAATACAAAATAAAGACTGGCAGTCAAGTCTGAGATGATATAGGACTATCTTCAATTATAAATACATTTTTAACTAACTGGCCTCAGTTGTTGTCATTAATGATGTAAGAATATTCTTTGCTTATCATGTTGCTTATCATTAAAAGTAATGTTGACGTGTTGCATCATTGGCCTGTAAGGAATGCTTCATATTTAAAACAATTCAATCCATATGAAAATATTATCTAGTATAAAAAACTATTAGATATCATCATAGTCATTTCACTATGGTTCGACATAAATTTAGTGTAATATATATATATATATATATATATATATATATATATATATATATATATATATATATATATATATATATATATATATAATTTGATAAAGAGAAAAATGAAATGACAATGAAACTATAAAGTTTACAATAAATTAAACTTTCATTCATGTCATTCTCTTACATTACAATAATTTGAATTGAAAATGAAATCCTGACACTCCTAGTATTACAATAGCATAGATGTAACTTTCATTCCTGCCATTCTCTAACATTACAATAATTCAAATAAACATTGCATCCCTGGCAATCCTAACACATTACAGTGAGTTCAAATAAAACTACACTCATATCAATCTTTTGATGATAAATTCAACTTACACTTTCTCTCTTACAGTAGAAAACAAATTATATGAAATACATGAACTGCTTTTAGAGATAATATTTTAAAAATTGTGTTTTTTATATGAAACATTCCTTTCCCTAAAGTTGCATAGACAGATTTGCAAAATGACTCCTCTAACAAAATATAGCATAAAAAATAGGGAAGGATTTCAAGTAAAACTACCTAATTATTTACGACCATTAAAAACAATTAACTTATTACACATAACATAAAGAGAGGACTACATATATACACAACTCTCTCACCTCCCCAATCCCACCCTTAACACCCCCACCAATCCCGACATGGGCATGCTGGTTTCTATATGGTATAGGCTTTACCAGTAGATGTGTTGGAACCTGCCCCTCCGCTGACTTGGTGTTGACAGAGCTGTGGACCTGTCGGCTGTACCCATTGTATCATACCAGACGTTAGCCCTAATTCCTAGCACAGGTCAGTGTCGATAATGCATCACATAAAGTTGTGAATATTGCCATATCTTTCCTAAATCTTTGATGAAAGTGCATAATTATGAAAGGTCGCTTCATTAGTTCAGAGACTAATCAGCATTTGCTTCTACTAAAGGTGCCCCATAAACTTTTTAGTTATAGCTGCTTGACAAATTAAGAACACTAAAATATCTTAACAAGGAAATAGGAAATTATAAAACACTATTTTTTTTAGCACAGCTTGTTAGAAACAATTCTTGACTTGGAAAAAAAATAAATGTATATTTTCCTAAATCATATGGGGCTGTCTCAGATTGTCATTTCTGAGAAATGGTAGAAAATACATTCACTATAACCTATTGATAATTATAAGTCTTACTGTACATCTTTAGGAATTTCCTTTTTTTTAAATATAGAAATTCTGTGCAAGTGTGGCCTGAATAATGAAAACGGCTGACAGAGATTAAAGTTAATTTTAGATGTATCTAACATTCATGCCCTAATGTAGATACACCTTGAATCAGGTAATAACTCAGTTATAAATAATTGTAGAGGTTTTTTTTTATATTTTAAGGAATTTTCTTTTTTCTAAATTCTGTGCAAGTGTGGCCTGAATAATGAAAACGGCTGACAGAGATTAAACTTAATTTAAGATGTATCTAACATTCATGCCCTAATGTAGATACACCTTGAATCAGGTAATAACTCAGTTATAAATAATTGTAGAGGTTTTTTTTTTTATTTTAAGGAATTTTCTTTTTTCTAAAAATTGGTATGATAATATAGAGTGGTCAGTGTCAGTACGGCCTCAAATATGTAGTTGTCTTCAGCATCCATAAATGCCTTCACAACTAGAGGCCATGAAAAAATGTGAGAGAGGTTAAACTTAAGATTTATCCAACATTCATGCCCTAATGCGGTCATATCTTAAGTCAGGTTATGGACAACTCGATAATAAATAATAACATTTTAAGGATTATTCTTTTTTAAATGGGTTTGGTAATATAGACTGTTTAGTGTCAGTGTGGCCTGAAAAATATAGTTGTCTTCAGCATCCCTAAATGCCTTCACAACTAAAGGCCATGAAAACAGCTGATTAAACTTAACTTTAGACGTTTCTAGCATTCCTCCCCTAATGCCAGAAATATCAAAAGTCAGGTTGTGGACAGTCTATACTATTTAGTACCATTACTATTATATATATATATTTCTTTTCTTAAAAATTATGATTTCTTATAAATTTTACAGGTTGACTATTTTTCTTTCTATTAAAACAAGCTAGAGAGCCACTGGTCACTATTCTTTTACTAACAAATACAGTGTAAATGGAACAATTTCTACCACATTGCCAAAGAGAATAAACTACTCTTTATATTGAAAAAGGCCTTAAAGGACAAAGGTTTTTTTTCTTTAGTTTATGTCCAGTTCTCACCGGATTTAAATATTACATCATGTCTGCAAGTCAAGAATATTACTTGTTAAAAGTTTTACATTTAGTTAACTAAATACTTTGATGATGTTAGCAACATTAACACCACAACAAGCCCCTGGTTCCTTTCCCTTTCCTAAAAGAGCCTATGTTTCTATTTGTGCATTGTAACAGGAAAAAAAAAATAAGTGAAACAGCTTGCACATTACTAATGAAACGACCTGTTTACAATCAGGCACTCTGCTTACATAGACAAGGAAACTGCAATATTCACAAACGTATGACACAGTATCCAGACTGACAAGGCTAGGGTTCAGGCATTATCTGGTAATCAACAATGGGCCAGCCGAGCAGGCCACAGATGTCAACACACTCGCAGCGGAGGTTGGCAGGCGGCCTGCTCTATTGAGCAGACCTCTCCAACTGTTCATCTCCCTGGTGTGCCACCATTACCAGCTGCCCCCTCTTCCACACCCACCTTCCGTCAGGATAACCCTTCCCTTACCCACAAAAACCATACCCTGCATCCCCACCATCCATCCAATAGAAAGAACAATGACAGTGAAACAAAAGAAAAACAAAAGGTGTAATAAGTTAATTGTATATCACCCACCAGATCCTCCCCCTTTAAAACATAACTAAATTTTACTTGAATTCCCTCCCTTTACAAAAATAAATAAATAAATACTATTACATTTTCCAAATATTAATCTTGAACATCCAGAAGTTTGTTGAGATCCTGGCTTCTGCTTGAAAATGTCTTTTCTTGAAGATTTCACTCAGGTGCTGTTGTTGACTGTAATTTTAATTAACAGATGTTCAATATTATCTTTTTTCAAGCTAGCTAGTTTAAAACTAAAGTTCAAAGCTAATTCTCAAACAAAAAAAGTATTAAACATACCTTGATTAAAGAGCCTCTTGAGGAAGGTTAAGAATGTTATGACATTTCACAATTTGTAAAACTTGAACATCCAGAAGAGGGTTGAAATCCTGGCTTCATCTTGAAATTGTCTTTTCTTGAAGATTTCACACATGTTTTTTAGACTGTAATTTAAAATAACAGATGTTCAATATCTTTTTAAAGGTAGCTAGTTTAAAACTAAAACTCAGAGCTAGTTCTCAAAAAAAAAAGTAATAAAACATACCTTGATTAAAGAGCCCCTTGGGTTGAGGAGGGTTAAGAATGTTATTTCATAATCGTCTGGATGATTGCTGACATTCTGTTTATGGACACAATTTTTAAAACTTGAACATCCAGAAGAGGGTTGAAAATGTCTTTTCTTGAAGATTTCACACATGTGTTTTTTGTAGACTGTAATTTAAAGTAATAATTTGTTTTACAATCTTTTTTTACATGAATTCTCAACATCCAGCTGGTATTTTATTTGTAAATGTCCTTTACTAATGTGAAATCTGGTGCATTTTTTGTAAAAAAAAACAAAACAGATACAGTTTAAAATTGACCTCATATTTTAGAAAATAAAAACCTTTTATTATCATACCTAAAAATTAATACACATCGTGGAATTTGGAAATAAATCAATCTACTGATGGACTTCAGTGACCTGCTAGGATGTAATTTTATGTCTGCAGGGGAAAAAACTCATACATGATTAGAAAAATACATAAGGTAACTAAAACCTAACCAGAAGGATCTGGCTGATGTTTGACAATGTCTTTATCGTGAACTTGTTACCGCTCATTGCTGAGGATTGAAATGTAAAAAAAAAAATTAACAACAATCTGTAGAAATGTCATAACAAAGAAAAGTTTAAGACTGTTCTAATAAAATTGATTTTGAAAAAAAAGGCCTACTGAAATATTATGGGTCTCTCGAGGTTTGAACATAAATGTACTGTCGAACTTCGTTGAAGACTGTTGGACTCGTGTGCTTGTTGGCTTAATGTATTACTTCTGGTTGATGTGCAAGACAAAAGGATACATGTTGTTAATTGTAAACATACTTTTTAAAAAATAAATAAATGAAACACATCAGAATATAAATTTAGCTTTAAGACAGTAACTGAAAAATTAATGCTTGAAAAAAATGTATTTAAATGTTTGCATAGGCCTACCTAAAAATCATGGGCATCTCAAAAGGTGTGGAAAAGAAACTGCTGTTGGACTTTGCTGCTGATGTTTGCCAGAAGTGCCACCCCCCCCCCCCACCCCAAACTTAATCTATGCCCATAAAATGCTACCCAAGTTTACACTAACTGTCAGCCACCAACTCAGTAGAATTGCGGATAGGTTGTCCATGTCTTTAAGCTTTTCCACTTAAGTAAGTGACCAAGTTAGTGCCAAGCTTTAAGTTTCTCCACTGAACAATGTGTCAACCACAAAATGTTATCACAAAAGAGTTGTCGAAGCCCTTGAGTTTTTCACATAAGTGGGTCACAAAGTCAGTAGATGCACAAAATGCTTGCCCTAAAAATACCCATTCCTTTTCACAAACATCATTATCTAACGATGAACTGTAACATCTTGCCTGAAACATAAGCAGGAATGCGACTAAAAAAAACCAACGAAGCAAAGAAAGCAACTTGTTAGCCTACAAGATAACAATTTTAACAAAGTGTAGAGTGTAACATTAAACCTACTTAAATTAGGCCTACTGCATTTTATTAAACTAAGCGGCACCTGTAGGTCTATTTAAGTAAAACCTATAACTTTTTAAAATAAACATTGTATAAATTATAAAATTGGTCTATTTTATTTTCAGTAATTAAATTGAGATATAAATATAGGCCTAAATATGTAGTATTATGTAGGCCTATGCCTATAGGATAGATTAGGCCCTACTGTAATATTGTAGGCTTAAAGTAGGTATATGGACCAGGGAGGTCTCTTCTTGTACGATAAGACGAGCCTAAATGTTAAAAGTTAATACAATGTTATGCCTAATAATACTAAATGTCTATAGATAGACCGTTTATTTTTAAATTTACACAGATCTAGTACGCTTATATGACAGGCCAAGGCCTCTTATATGTCATATGACACTATAATATTTTTACTAAGTTTACCTTAACTAACTTAGTTAATATTAAGTAACTAGCCTAATATACGTTGTATAAGTTTACCTTCATCTTGATATTGATACCACTGAAGCCAAGCAGCTGTTAAAGATATCTAAAAATCGGGCGCCAACACTGAGTATTTAATCATTCACACATCAACATTAGCCTAAGCTAATGTGTTTTAGTCTGTCACGTGATGTAAACAAACAGATAACTCAGCAGGGTAGGTGCCGGCTGTGTGAATGTGTTCATTTTTTGACAGCTAAAGCCTAGATCTATTGGTCAAACAGTTAGAGTATCCAAGTGTTCCTTCAGTCATAGTTGGCGCAAACTTGAAGTCATAATGAAACTACATGGTCTAGATACAATCCAACCTACACACATAATAGCTGACCCAGAACTTCATATCATAAGCTTGACGAAATTGCAATGCCAAAATTCGGTAAGTAGTCTAGTTATTCTTTAGCCTAATAATTAGATTTTTAAATTAAAATAAAACAGTCTAGATTGAATGTTATATAGGCCCAAGATAATGCTATTGACTATTGTATAGGCCTAATTTTAGTAGACCTATAGGACATAGGGCCTAATGAAATTGTTCTGCCTTGCCAATATGTTTTTAATTTTAACTAGTTGTGCATACTTCCTGCCCCAAGTTGTATGTAGACCTGGTTAAAAATTACTGGTGTCTTAACATATCTCATTTTGAACTTCTTTATTAATAGCATACGCCTCCATTGATAAATGTTGAAAAAAAAAAAACATCCTATAAGCCTACACTATAGGCCATTAGATCTCTAGTATATTAAAGTAGCTGTGCCTTAAGTTATTTAACATGTTGTGCATACTTCCTCCCTAAGTTGTATGCAGAACTTGTTAATAATTATTTCTGTCCAATGGACATCTGAAAATTTCTCTTTATTATAGCCTCCCTTTTAGAGAATCTGTAGGCTATAATATTTTATTTGTTGTGCATTGCCAATATGATTTTTACTTATTGTGCATGCTTCCTAAATTTCCTCCTATGTTGCACATGTAACTGGTTAAAAATTACTGTTGTCCAAATGGACTTTATTTAACAATGTCTTCTTTATCAACAGTCTATAGGCTCTTATATTGAAATTGCTCTGCCGTGTCAATATTTTTAACTCATTGTGCATACTTCCTCCCTAAGTTGTATGCAGAACTGGTTAAAAATGGTTGGTGACTAAGTGGACTTCATTTGATACTATGTCTCTCTATTACACTGTTTAAAAAGAACATCAGCTTATAGTCCATTATATTGACAATGAAATTGCTCGGATGTTGCCAATATGTTTTAACTCATTGTGCATACTTCCTCCCGAAGTTGTATGCAGAACTGGTTAAAAATGGTTGGTGACTAAGTGGACTTCATTTGATATTATGTCTCTCTCATACACTGTTTAAAAAGAACATCAACATATAGTCCATTGTATTAAAAATGAAATTGCATGGGCTGTTGCCAATATGTTTTAACTGGTTGTGCATACTTCCTCCCTAAGTTGTATGCAGAACTGGTTAAAAATGGTTGGTGACTAAGTGGACTTCATTTGATATTATGTCTCTCTCATACACTGTTTAAAAAGAACATCTAATTATAGTCCATTGTATTAAAAATGAAATTGCATGGGCTGTTGCCAATATGTTTTAACTGGTTGTGCATACTTCCTCCCTAAGTTGTATGCAGAACTGGTTAAAAATGGTTGGTGACTAAGTGGACTTCATTTGATATTATGTCTCTCTCATACACTGTTTAAAAAGAACATCTAATTATAGTCCATTGTATTAAAAATGAAATTGCATGGGCTGTTGCCAATATGTTTTAACTGGTTGTGCATACTTCCTCCCTAAGTTGTATGCAGAACTGGTTAAAAATGGTTGGTGACTAAGTGGACTTCATTTGATATTATCTCTCTCTCATACACTGTTTAAAAAGAACATCAAATTATAGTCCATTGTATTAAAAATGAAATTGCTCGGCTGTTGCCAATATGTTTTAACTCATTGTGCATACTTCCTCCCTAAGTTGTATGCAGAACTGGTTAAAAATGGTTGGTGACTAAGTGGACTTCATTTGATATGTCTCTCTCATACACTGTTTAAAAAGAACATCAGTCAATGGTATTGAAAATGAAATTGTCCGGCTGTTGCCAATATGTTTTAACTCATTGTGCATACTTCCTCCCTAAGTTGTATGCAGAACTGGTTAAAAATGGTTGGTGACTAAGTGGACTTCATTTGATACTATGTCTTTCTCATACACTGTTTAAAAAGAACATCAGATTATAGTCCATTATTTTGAAAATGAAATTGCTCTGCTGTTGCCAATATGTTTTAACTTATTGTGCATACTTCCTCCCTAAGTTGTATGCAGAACTGGTTAAAAATGGTTGGTGACTAAGTGGACTTCATTTGATAATATGTCTCTCTCATACATTGTTTAAAAAGAACATCAGATTATAGTCCATTATTTTGAAAATGAAATTGCTCTTCTGTTGCCAATATGTTTTAACTCATTGTGCATACTTCCTCCCTAAGTTGTATGCAGAACTGGTTAAAAATGGTTGGTGACTAAGTGGACTTCATTTGATATGTCTCTCATACATTGTTTAAAAAGAACATCAGCTTATAGTCCATTATATTGAAAATGAAATTGCTCAGCTGTTGCCAATATGTTTTAACTCATTGTGCATAGAGATCTCATTTGGCATGTCATCTTTGGTGCCTACATTTCCTTATTTGCCTACACAGATGATATAAAACAGCCTATAGTTTATTATTTTAAAATTAAAATTGCACTGCCTTTGTTGATATATTCCAAGTTAAATCTTCCCATTGAAACATGACATTGTATTGTTGGATGGGATTTCCTCCAGTCCTACGTAATTTATTATTATGTAACAACATATCAAAAAATGTAGTATTTCTTAGATCCATGTACACAGCTGCTAGGCCCATGGTTTTCTTCCATTAATTAATTAAATCATGTGAGAATTTTAACAGACTTTAATAAAACATGGACAAAAATATACACATTGACCAATTTGAATTTCTCGTTTGGATTTTTTTAACCTTAATTTTTTGAAAATGGTTCTGAAATGTAGGCCTATCTAAGGTTTTCATTTCTAAAATTGTCAAAAATGTAAAGATGTATTGTAATAGGCAAGGGCAAAATAATGGTGATAAGTAAATATATTTTTAAAAGCCAAAAATAATATAGACATTAAAAACAGGTTTGCACTGACTAAATTCACTACAGATAAAATAATAAAAGATTTCACCAGTTTCACATTTGACAAAATCCATTGGAAAAAATATATTTTGTCTTTCATGATTTCAACTTATTTTTTTGGCAATTAGTGTGCATTGCCATTAATCCAGCTATAATTAGTTGACTTTCTATCAGTTATGCATAAATTATTGTCATTTGGTGTAAATCAAACCATTTTCTTACCAGTCAAATACTTTCTTTTAAAGCTTTTTGTGGTGTCTTTTAGTACTTAAATACCCAGTTGTCTTTAATGTTTTGCCTTTCACAATATGTATTTGCATATTGGCCTCCTATGAAGAGGATATGATTGGCTCAGTGCATTCACTCTCAATCCACAATTAAAAGGTTCTCCAGCTTGTGAATCAGTAAGCTGCAAATCCTTTTCATGTCAATTTTTTATTCTCTTCCTCCTATTTGATGCCTTTGAGATCTCAATCAACTTCAGAGCTTCATAGGCCTACATGGGGTTTAATATAATTCCTTTTCTAGAAATTCCATCTTTAAAACTATTAGTTGGTGGACCACAGCCCATGGTGAAGAATATTGAATATAAGTTTCAGTTGCCATTTAAAAATAACATCTGTTTCCTCATGAATCTAGCAGACAATAGTATTAATTATATATCTTTCATTCACTGCATTTTTGAATGAGTTATATTTTCCTTAATCCTATTTTGAATGTGCAAGTAAATAGATAAGATATTGTCAAAACATTTTCTCACCAGTAGGGTCACTGTCACATTCTGTACCCAGTTTAGGCAACTACTACAGTCTACTAGCTAGGCTAGTATGAAATACAGTATTAATTATTAAGAAAGTCAGTAAAGTATTATACCTGTAGAGTGTGTCTTAGAGGGATTAGTTTCTGCAATCAAATGATCCATCTCTGTAGTGGAAGACTACACTCTGACTTGCAATGGTCAGGCTAGTCTTAAACATGTTCATAAATGGTTAAGAAATTTGTATTAATTTAAGTGTTTTATTGAGGAATGTATGTACAGGTAACAGGTGTGTTTGAGAGGGATTAGTTGAAGACTACACTCTGACTTGCAATGGTCAGGCTAGTCTTAAACATGTTCATAAATGGTTAAGAAAGTTGTATTAATTTAAGTGTTTTATTGAGGTATGTATCTACAGGTAACAGGTGTGTTTGAGAGGGATTAGCTGAAAACTAAGTTGAAGACTACACTCTGACTTGCAATAGTCAGGCCAGTCTAAAACATTTATTAAATGATTAAGAAAGTTTTATTATGTCTTATGAGTATGATAGAGCAGATAACAGTTTTAGGTTTTTAATTTTACAATGAATTAATCAAATGCTGCCTTTCTGTTTCTAGTGTACAGGCTGATTGGTGAACCCTAGAGAAAACATTAACTTGCAGTGGTCAGTCTAGTATGACAACCATAGACTACATTCTGATATACAATGATCAGGCTAGTCTATATAAAGGGTTAAGAAAATGTAACTAATGCTGCATATATTCACATGACAGATAGTAATTAAAATTTATTTTTCTAGCCATTAAGTGGTCTCAAATTTGAATCTAATTCTTTTAACTTCTTGTGTAAATTACATTTCAAGAACCACGAAATGCACAATTCTTTCATAAAACTGTAACGGGCAACAATTTGTTCTGTTTGATGGAATTTCAGTCCACCTCCCTAACTAATTCTTCAGTTATCTTTTTAAAATACTTGCTCAATTTAGAAAGTTTTGTTTTGAATTCATCGCTCATTCATCATATTGTGGCCAGTCAAACACTGCTTCCTTTCTTCATTCTTAAATGTAATATTTGAATTGGTTTCCTCCAATACATTGTGGCCCATTGAGTTAAATACCATGAGCTTTTCCTTTTTCTAGTCTTAAATTGCTTGTGAGGATAAACTTTGAAAATTATTTCATAATAAGGCATAATAAAGTACTTGTACAAACACTGAAATATTGTTTAAATTTAGTATTTGTTTTATGGCTTTTAAAAATGTATGCATTAGTAATAAAAGTTGATAGTTCAAAAAATTTTGTTTGAATAAAAAATCTCTCAACTTGTCAAATAAGAATATTTACAGCGAAGAATGATGAAATATCAGGAGGCGACTTTGCTCAGAGACTTATTAATATTTAGTGTGGAGGCTTTCTTGATTATAGTATCACAGCTGTTTCAAAGTAATAAATTATTTTTAAAAATCTTCTGCTGCAAATTAAATTCCATCACAAACTCTGGTTTTGTAGAAGTTATTTATATAGGTCTGGTGGCTGCTCCATGAATTTAATAATATAAATTCCCTATCGACCCCATTGAGGTTAAAAAGCATAAAATAGCATGGCCATACAACTAAGAACAATGCCTAAAATAGCTGACAATTTACTTATAAAAAGACACCTGGTCTACAGGGTCACATAGTTCTATTTGATAGAGCTTTTAATGTGAAAATTTCTCTTACATTTATTTTTATTTCATTTTATTAAATTTGGTGCAGAGAGCATTTCTCTTACCTCTCAATGCTGAAAGGGACAGAATATATTGACCCAAAATAATATGTAGGCTATTGTCTAAAGCCTTGCAAAGCTTAAGGCTGCTTATTTTCTAGCTTTAGTTTTGGCTTATTTTAATTTAAGACATTTTATGGTCTTTTATTGTCAATTCTTAAATTTTATTTATATGTTCTAGACAATTTTATTGTTTTTATTTTCAGTAAATTTATATATTGTTACCTCAAGAACTCCATAGTGCAAGGAAGTAGAGTCCATGTTGAAGTAGAGTTCATCTGTTTCTATAACCTTGGCAGATGAAAAGATTGTGTGGCCAGCACAATTTCTTGCAATCTTATTCTCTGTGACTTTTTTTTCATCGCAGGGGTTGGACTACAGTTATGAGCCAGGAAACCGTACTTGAGACCATACCTGACCATGCAATCCTGTAAAGCTGAACCAATAAGGAGTTGCTGTGTAGGAACTCTTCTTTGTCCTGACCACTTTGTTATAGGAACATTATACTGTATTCAAGTAGGTTTCCTTTATTTTTTCTGTACTACAATCTAATGTATTTGTTGTTTCTACATATTTACATTTTAAAAGCCTTTTGAAGACTCAAAGAGAAAAAAATCAGTTTCTAATGGTAAAGAGTTTTTCATCACTGTCAGAAAATCCTTTAATGCATTTTTCCAGAGTAATTTGTTTGCAAATTTATTACAGTTAAAAGGAGAAATAATTTCTCTGGAGAAATGCTGTTGATGGCCATAGTGCAAGGAAGTAGAGTCCATGTTGAAGTAGAGTTCATCTGTTTCTATAACCTTGGCATATGAAAAGATTGTGTGGCCAGCACAATTTCTTGCAATCTTATTTTCTGTGACTTTTTTGTTTATCGCAGGGGTTGGACTACAGTTATGAGCCAGGAAACCGTACTTGAGACCATACCTGATCATGCAATCCTGTAAAGCTGAACCAATAAGGAGTTGCTGTGTAGGAACTCTTCTTTGTCCTGACCACTTTGTTATAGGAACATTATACTGTATTCAAGTAGGTTTCCTTTATTTTTTCTTTACAATCTAATGTATTTGTTGTTTCTACATATTTACATTTTAAAAGCCTTTTGAAGACTCAAAGAGAAAAAAATCAGTTTCTAATGGTAAAGAGTTTTTCATCACTGTCAGAAAATCCTTTAATGCATTTTTCCAGAGTAATTTGTTTGCAAATTTATTACAGTTAAAAGGAGAAATAATTTCTCTGGAGAAATGCTGTTGATGGCCTCTACCCCAAACACCTTCACCACCTGCCCGTCTAGAGTTCAAAGCATTGTACAGGTACATAATGTTTAATTTGTAGTGTCTGATATTTTTGCTATTGATGAGTAATTTTAAATTTCTATTGTTCAATGGATAAAATAATTTTAGTGTGCACATTAATGTGTTGAAGACAATATCTAAAATTTTCACATTTTATGCTTAACATTTATGTCATTTGTATTTTAGAAAAGAGTGTGATCTACTGATGAACCAGTCCACATTGAGTACATTGTGATTACCCTTCTAGTGTGTTGATGTCTACCTAGTCATTGTTTATGACAATTGCCAACCATTAGGACACGGTCAATTTCATTAATGTTGATGATTAATATTGTTAATGTGTAATAAAATTCACTCACAATATTTGTGCTCATTTAGTTAATATAAGTCTGATTTAAAATGTAATTTATGCATCTAGCTTAAGCACAGCTGCTCTATTGAGTTTGTTAAGAATGTATGTCTGACCTTATAAAAATTACTGTTCAGCAATTGCTTCTTTACTTAGGTAATATTTCCACTAGGTTCACTTTAGTCATATTGTCTCTAACATACAGTCTTTTAAATACATAATGTATAAGACACTGCTGTTCCTCCTTTTAGTTTATAATTGTTAATAATTGTTTTGAAATGTAATAAAAGAAAAAAACATTCTATTGCTTTTTATTCTTTTATAAGTTTTGTTAAAATGTATACTAATTTTGTATATTTTTTTTTAATGTTAGGAGAGGTTCAGCCTTGTGAAATCAAATGAAAGTGAAGAAAAACCATAAAAAGCAACCTTAATTCCATATAATTTCTTCAGTTACATTGCTAAAATTTTAAATTGTTCATATCTCAAATCAATTTTCTCCAGTAAAATTATTTAAAATGCTATTAATCCATTCTATAATATGAAGCCATTCTGAGAATTTAGTCAGTTAACATTTTATATTTTTTGAGCTCACTGAAGATTGCAACAATGGGGGGTAGAGAGGATAAGAGTAGGAGCTCTACTATATTCATTTTGTCACTAGTTTAGCTAAATGCTAAGTAGGTTCTTTTCTTCATCCCCTTTACAGTGTGGCAGAAATAAGTTAGTCAAGCTGCAATTAATTTGAGTGAACTGTAAAAAAAAAACCACACACTCACTAGAATTATTGATCATAATTAGCTAATTAGCACAGTAAATTTTAACATAACGAAACTTTATAACTAATTATTTTTAAGGTGATATCCATTTATTTACCTTTATTTTTAACCACAAATGTACTTACAATGTTTATAAAATTACTATTGATTTATTTTAAGAAAGTTTTTTTAAAATTTCATCTCAATCATCTGAATAATATATTAGGCCTGTTTTATTTTTGGAAGACAAAATAAATTCAGATTTTTAATAGGGGATATAACTTTACAAAAGCCATGGAATAAAGTGTTTTAATTATTTCCCTATGACCATTTACAATATGGAGTAAGTTTGTCGATTGGTTATTTTTTAAATATCTTTAAAAAGCTAATTTATTTATTTAAATAAGCTTTTATTTCTGATCAATATGTATATCACTAAATATATAAATATATATATCCTTAACTAAAATTATTCAACTGTCTGTCTTTCCAGTCAATCTTCAAAAGAAAGCTGCTTAACTCTTTTAAAGCCAGTGAATAAAATATTTGAACGGTTATTTCCCTTTCAATCACAAATGTAATTTTTTTTTTTTAAATTGAGAAGTTGCACAAAGGGATTCTATTTTTAAATTTGTTTTTGAAAGGTATATCGAATCAGGGGCGTAAGGGGAGAAGGGGTTCGGACCTAAAAAAAAAACTAAAAAAGAAAGTCATTTTTAAAATTTCATCTCAATCATCTGAATAATATATTAGGCCTATTTTATTTTTGGAAGACAAAATAAATTCAGATTTTTAATAGGGGATATAACTTTACAAAAGCTTTGGAATAAAGTGTTTTAATTGTTATTTCCCTTTGACCATTGTTTCAATTTACAATACGGAGTAAGTTTGGCGATTGGTTATTTTTTAAATATCTTTAAAAAGCTAATTTATTTATTTAAATAAGCTATATATATATATATATATATATATATATATATATATATATATATATATATATATATATATATATATATATATATATATATATATATAATATATAACTAAAATTATTCAGCTGTCTGTCTTTCCAGTCAATCTTCGGAAGAAAGCGGCTTAACTCTTTTAAAACTAGTGAATAAAATATTTTAACAGTTATTTCCCTTTAATTGCAAATGTAATTTTTTTTTTCAATCGATAAGTTACCAAAAATGTTTTTATCGTTGGGCGAAGTAAAACCTGCTAAAATTATATTTTAAGGTAGCTCAAAGAAAGATATATCGAATGACTATTTATTTTTGATTTACTTATTTTTAAATTAGACAACTTCAATCAAAAAATAGAATTATATATTATAAAATCATGATTGTTTAAATCATGCCAAATAATAATTGTTTATTGTTATTAGAGAATAAAGATATGGGGGCGTTATTGATCACACTCACCCCGAATCTCAATCTCAACCTTCAGAAACAAACTCATGCTCATATTCATTTTACCCTCACCCTAACCCTCACCTTCACCATTACACTAACATTACCACTCTCACTTACACGTACATAAACATTACAAATACCAATACCACGCCAACAAGAAAACTAACACTGGCAAACACTAACATTAACACACTTTCCTCAAACACATGTCAACTCAGTGCTCCCCAATACCTCACTTTGTACTTTAACATTTTGCATACACGTCACTCTTCAAAACTTTGAGAAAATACATTCTTACCAACCATCCATATGTGGTCTTTTTGTACGATTTAGTTTACCTAATCAACTTTTTGACAATAGTCTTTGCCCAAGTGAATTGACAAATTGTAACAATCTTCGGCCACTTTGACCTATCGTAGCTTAAATGACCAGGATTTGACCCCAGTTTACCACAGTTTTGACCCCGGTGAGTTGTTTTAATTCATGACATGAAACCGACAACAACAAGCTCGGAACGCGGTGACCTATCTCGGCTTAAATGAATAGGATTTGACCCAAGTTCACCACAGTCTTGACCCAAATGAGTAGTTTTGAATAAATGACCGTGAAACCAACGACAACAATCTTGGACCGCTGTGACCTTTCTCGGATTCAATAAATAAGATTTGACCCATGTTCTCCGCAGTCTTGACCTCGATGAGTAGTTTTCAAAACCTGACATCAAACCAACAACATTACTTGACCTTGCATTAAGTGCACGTAAACCTATTGGAAATAAGGGAAAATAACTTTTAATCCGTTCATGTTGGGTTAAAACGAAAAAAAATAATTAAAAATTAATATGGCATCCATATGCAAATTGCTGATAAGCGGATTAGAGGGATTAATACATCAAAACAAAACACTAACACTAGAACTTACAGTAACACTAAAGCTATGACTAACACCAACACTCACACTAGCATTCACATTCAAACTCACACTCACACTCAAACTAAACTTTACACTCATATTTAAAAATTACACTCACACTCAAACACATTAAAACTAACACTAGCACTAACACCTACTCTTACGCTGAAACTTACGACCATACTCACACTCACACCAACACTAACATGCTCACACTTTCACATTCGCATTTACATTCGCACGCGAACACTAACATTCAAACTCATTCATTACCCACACCATATCCTTCATACACAACCACTTACACTCAAAATAGTATTTAAAAAAATAACACTTCACACTCTCACTTACACTACCATTTTCACTCACACTGAAAAACTCACACTAACATTGAAATTGACACTAATACTAAAACTGGCATCGACACCGTCCTTGACACTGACACTGACACTCACATGCTCACACTCACACTCACATTTTCATTAACATTATAAATGCCATTATAATGCTCTTACTAACGCTTACACGAACACTAACACTGACATTTACTGACACTAATATTAACATAAACACTAACACACTGGCACTCTTACTCGCACTCAGACTCGCACTGAAACTAAAACTAACACGATAACAAACATTTACGCTAACACTATCATTTGATACAATTCGTGCCAAGTTTTCCTTCCACACTCTTCCCTCACTCAGTCACACCTTTTATTTAGCCAGCTCACACTTGACTATACCACCTCTCCACACTTTCCTTCAACACGTGACACCTCAGTGCTCCCCTCATCTCGTACTTCCACAGTTTGACTAATCACCATTGCACACTCTCCAAAACCTCAAATTTGGCCCTTCCACACCCTTCAAACTTTGATTAAACTTTGAGAAAATACATTCTTAACAACCAGCCATATGTTCTCTTTTGGTACGGTTTATTCCAAGTGAAATTGTATTATGTAAGAAAACGATGACAAATTGTAACAATCTTCGGCCACTTTGACCTATCGTAGCTTAAATGACCAGGATTTGACCCCAGTTTACCACTGTTTTAACCCCGGTGAGTTGTTTTAATTCATGACATGAAACCGACAACAACAAGCTCGGAACGCGGTGACCTATCTTGGCTTAAATTAATAGGATTTGACCCAAGTTAACCACAGTCTTGACCCAGATGAGTAGTTTTCAAAACAAGTAACAACAATCTCGGACCACGGTGACCTATCTTGGCTTAAATGAATAGGATTTGACCCAAGTTAACCACAGTCTTGACCCAGATGAGTAGTTTTCAAAACAAGTAACAACAATCTCGGACCACGGTGACCTATCTTGGCTTAAATGAATATGATTTGACCCAAGTTAACCACAGTCTTGACCCAGATGAGTAGTTTTCAAAACAAACAACAACAATCTAGGACCACGGTGACCTGTCTTGGCTTAGATGAATATGATTTGACCCAAGTTCTCCACTGTCTTGACATGATATGAAAACAGCCATCTCGGAGCGCCGTGAACTTTCTAGGATTAAATACATACGTTTAGACCCAAGTTTTCGCAGTTTTGACCTCGATGAGTAGTTTTTAAAACCTGACATAAAACCAAAAGCATAACTTGACCTTGTATTGCTTTAGCTTAAACACTAAACGAAAAACGTTCACTAGCACTTACGCTTACGTTTACTCTCAAACTCAGACTAACGAACTCAAACCTATATTTTCACTCACACTTACACGCAGGGGCGTCGCGAGGCGGGGATGGGGGTTGCGGACCTCACCGAGTGACACCATTAATACCAAAACACAAAATTTCAAGATTTATAGAATAAATATGTTTTTATTTGCCAGTTAATTAGAATTAATTAGA